CAGCCAGGTCCCTGTACTGTCCCCCCACCACTGGCAGTAGGTGTCAGGCTCCTTGAGAATTAAGTCACAGCTACTCCTTGCTTAACATCGTAGATACATTCTTGAAAAATTTGACTGTAAGCAAAACGATGTTAAGCGAATCCAATCATGTCACAGTAGTTACCTCCTAGCAGGCGGTGGCCAAACAACTTTACAACTGAACACCGCGCCACTTCAAACACATACGTTCTGTAATAGGTTAGCGATGTAATAACGAAACGCCATTAACAGGGACGACGTTCAGTGAGGAGTACCTGTACAGGAATGGACATGGCAGGGCTAGTGACAGGACATGAGGCTATGCTTTAAAAAACTCACGGCCTCAAACAGAAGCAGCTTTCACACGTTAGGAGCTCTGCTATTTATAGGACACTTTGGCGTTTCCCAAGAGACAAGGGCCCTGGGGCCAGCAGAGGTTATGACATAAAGAGGCAGACGCCGAGACACGGGGCCTTTTCACGGCTCCAACGTCATCACCGGTCCGTCTGCGGTGCTGGGAGCAGAAGCAGGAGAACGGAAGTGGCAGGAAGTCACAAGCAGGCAAGGTCATGTCCTTCCAGAGCCATGAAGGAGTCCAGCCACTCTGGTATTTTTAGTGTCCCTCGACTCCTGTGGGGTCGGACTCTCCCCACCCCCGCAGTGCTTGTGCCGCCTCCTGCTCCCAGATCCTGATCTCGGAGCCCGGCCCCGAACCCAGGCAGCTCCCCCACCAGGGGGACTACAAGCCCCAGCACGCAGCGCGGGAGCAAGAGCGCGCGCGCGCGTTGCATGCTAGGGCCTGTAGTCGCTTCAGCCCCGCCGCACGCGTCACGCACGAGCCCAGCAGCCAATCAACGCCTGCCGACCCCTGCCAGTCAGAAAAAGCCAGGCAGCGATTGGAGGACGCGCCGCCGCATCCCTCCCCCGGTGTCTCCTCACAGCCCCAAGCTCGATTCATTCCATGGGCCGCCGGGGGGCGGAAGGGCGGCCACCTCCCAGCGGCGGACCCGCTCCCCCGCCTGGGCCTGCCTTGCCTCACCTGCGCGGTTACCGCGACCCCCACACGCTGCCACGCTCGCAGCATCTCGCCGGGCGCGGGTCGCGGCGGGTGGCGGACGCTGCTCGGAAGCCGCCGCGAGCACTGCACTGTCTCCGCCCCCTCAGCGTGACCCCCAGCGCGCAGGCGGTGAGTAGCAAGAGCAAGCGGCCAATCAGCGCTCGGAGAACGGTCAGGATGCAAATCAGGCTCTGCCAAGCATGTGTGAGTGCGCGTGCGCGCCAACTGCTTGAGGGGTGGCCAATGAGAGCGCGGCTCAGGAGCAACAGATGTCAGCCGCACGTGGCGGGAGAGCGCGTGCGCACTACTGGCGCCGAGGAAGGGCTGGGGGAGCGTTGTGCAGTGCAGCCTCAGGGCCTGTTGAGCGGGGACAGCGGACTGCTCTCTCCCCCTGGGGCTGGGGGCATGAAGAGCTCCTTACCCCCATGGAAATGAAAGCACCACTGCTGGCAACCAGGGTGCAAATTAAGGGGGGGGGGGGG